CCCCTGGGCAGATTCTGGAAAATTACTTACATACTACTAGCAGAATGTCTAATTCTGGCGACCCACAAGCTAGTGCTGTGAACAAGTCAAATTATAAAAAGGTAGGCAAGTACATTCTTGTCCCAAGACAATAAACTAAATGCTCCCACTGTATTTATAAGCCTGCCCATTTTCCACTGTGTAACACATGCAAATGATGCAACACTGTTCCTGCATTGTTTCTGTCAGGATTGTGTGTATTTTTAAAAATTATTTTTGATGCAAATACTGCATATATTAGGTCAGATACAGGACAAAACAAAACATAAAAAAAGACGAAACTATTCCTGGATTGCATGCACATTACACCCCTACCCTAATGATGGCCCATGATTATACATATAAAAACATATCTGTACATAATCCCACCTATACATATACCCATAAGCATACCTACACATATGTGCACCCATATACATACACACAAACCTCCATACAAGTATATATGCCTAAAGTGCACTACCCCTGCATGTCATATATATATATATATATATATATATATATATATATATATATATATATATATATATATATATATATATATATATATATATATATATCCATCCAACAAGTCCTCATATGTCTGCACATACATTGCACTTACATCTTAACCCTAACATATGGATGTACGGCATGTATACACGTATTCAGCTTTAGTGTTCATGTATATATTGCAACAAAATTGTGTTTTTTAAGGCACCGATCTCGACTTGGGTTGATTTAAGTAATAGCCTGCTTCCAGATTTAACCCAATAGTGGTGTTAAGGTTTATTAGTCAGGGCAGGGTAATGTCATGTAAATATGAGTATTAATCTGGAGCCAAGTTACATGAGAGGTGTACACGTACATTATGCATTTCTGAACACAGTAATGTGGAATACAACTGCATTTGAGCTTGAGCTGAATGGGTCAGTGCAGGTGATTTGACCGGGCCTCATCATGGCCCTGCTCCTGACCAGGAGTCTGATACCGCTCAGCTTCATTATGAAAAGGTGAAGAAATGTTTCTACAATCGTCTAGGATTAGTATACTGTTACTATTCACTAATTATAAAATGACGATACCCTTATTGTAGATTTGTATGCGCTTATTCTCATGTGCTCTTCTCAGTTATATGTTAGGTCTGGTAACATTATGCAGTTTGGCCTTGATGTGTAAACAGAGAAACAGGGACTTTACAAATGGTGACAGCCAGGGATTAACCTGTGACAGCAGTTTGGTACGATTTGATCAAACGGAGATTGGCCGCTACAGGTTCATTACTCTGTATCAAACATAGGGGTATGTGTGAGGGTGTCCAGTATGTTTGAATATCATAATATCTAGTCTGTAGTCTTATGACAGACCGCTCACACAGGGCAGGTGGTCTGGCAGTTGGAAGTTGAGAGGTATGCAAGTAATCCCTGAACCACATAAATTACATGTAAGCCTGACCAGAGTATAGTGAAGTGTTATATAGCGAACAAATCAAGAAATACAATGTACATTCAAAAGTTTTTTTTTTCGTTTTAAAGAAAAATGCACCCCAAGGAGAAAAGCCAAAGTCTGATGTCACAGAGATAACAAAAGACTGGGCATTTCTATTAAAGATATACTGAAATGTCAAAAAAACACCCAAGTTTGGATCCATCCCCTTAAATTGATTTTTTTCCTGATCCTATCTAGAATTACTTTCAATTGCTGGCAAGCTGCTTCCAGTGCGTTACTTTATATAACAGATGTGACAATTGATTTTGCAGACACAGGTTCATTAACATGTCAGTCCATAAGTGGGAGCGTGGTGGATCTGATGTGCTCACCTGATAAACATAAGAGTGGTTACTATGGTAACGGTGCACCACATAATATCGTAATGAGTTTTTGCAACAAGTGAAAAAAAGAGCGCATCTCTTCAAAACAAAGGCCTGTCAAACTCATTTGGCAGCATCGCGTAACTAAAATATGTCTTCTGATATGGAGCTGGACAAGGCACATAGGTTGTACGTTGAAAGAAATTTAAATTACATATTTGACAATTTATCATTTCAAGTAACGTTACTGCAGCTTTACAAAAAGTAGGACTATGAACGGTTAATCCGAGGCCAATGGGAGACAATGTTTACAAACTACGTGTTTTGATGGAGCGTGGTTTAAATAGTAGAATCTACTGTGCTTTTAACATAAGTAGAAAAGCTGAATGAATGGAAAGAATTGAAAGTGGCGAGCACAGTCCACACATTACGTTTCTCTGAGAGTACGTCGAAAACACGTTAAATACAGCGCGCACGAAAAAGTCCGGCAAAAAAAGCACGGACGAATTCTTCATTATAAATTGACAACAAAAATGTGCTGATCCGACAAAAGTCAAAACACGGGAGCCGGTTGAAGCGTGGAGCAGGTCTGCAAGCCAGCGGCAAGCAGTGCACACGGTAAACAAAGGCCTGTTTCTGAGTGCAAGCTCCATTTTGAACAATGCGGCTTGGTTTCTGTACTGAGCTAAAAATAAAATATACACTTTAAGTAATGCAATCCTGCTTTGATAAAGTGCGTGCAATTAACGAACGTACCTGGGGTGCTACCGAGCGTGCTGTGGCTCCTTAAACTACTCTCGGTACAGTAGCTGGCATCATCATCATCTGGTAGTTCCTCCAGATAGTCAGATTCGTTCCCCAAGGCCTCCTCTTCTTCAAGATCCGACGAAGGGTTGTCGTTCAGGAGTTCATCTTCGTCTGACCTGTAGCTTAAATTATCATCCTCCTCGTCGCTGTTATCGTCGTAGACCACCTTGGTTTGAGGCCGCCTCACTCCGCCTCTGCTGCCGCGGCTGCCTCTCGACCCCCTGCCTCTCCCTCTGCCTCCTCTGCCCCGCGATGCCGCGGCCGCCACCGTGGTGGAGGCTCCAACTTTCCTGCGGCCCCGGGACGAATGAAAGTTCTCTCGGCCGGAGATTTCTGTGTCCACCTCCGCAGAGCCAGTGCCGCAAACGCCGCCACTTTCTCCCCGTCCCCGACCCCGTCCTCTTCCTCTCCCCCGTCCCCGCATCCCTCTACTCCTGCCGCCCCGAGAGCCGCGGACTGGCCCAGGCGAACCTTCCCGCATCACGGCTGCTTGTTTGGGCGGCCTTCCTCTTCTCCCCCTCATTGTAGGAGAGAGTCTCTGCTGTTCCGCTTCAATCTCGGTGCTGGAGTGAGCCGCGCACACCGGGGAAAAGCGGGGGAGAACAAAACCAACAGGTTTGTTGACGGTTCCCGATAAGTCCCCACCAAGCCCCGGTCTCAATTTCAGGGCGGAAAGCTCAAACTGAATGGCCGGTATCCCGCTCTGGGTCGCCTGCAGACGCCATTTTTCTTCTCAGCTCTCCCTCCGTTGAAAACACAGCAGGCCCCAGAGTCGCATCAAGCTAACCGCGGATACCAGGGGCTGTAACCGGAAGAGACGGGCTTTTCCTTCAAGGTAAAAGCGAAATGAAAACAAACAAAAAAAGAAAATTAAATACCAAGTACGACATGCGATCACATTAATTATTTGTTTTCATTGTGAATGTTTATATAATATAAATAGCTTTAGAATGTTTTGTTTTAAGTAGTTTACTGTAACTCTAACCGGAAGTGCAGTCTTTAGGCGTCTAACTTGACACTAACAGGCCTGAGTAAATGCGAGATCACGTGACTCTATTCTACAATAGACGCAATTGCCGTACTACTTCATAAAATTAGTTATCCATGCAAACGCTTTCCGTTAATAGTACTTTATTAGCGTTGGCCGGTCAAGTTGGATGGTTTTAATTACAGGTGGGTCGTGTGTATTCACCGAGACGCAGTCGTTCATTTTCGACCCTGTCGCCATCGTCGTCACAGCAAAGCCAGGCGAGAAGATAACCAATAACGTCCGACATTGAGCTTTATTATCACTACATAAACCCAAATAAGTCATGAAAGTTAACAGCTAACATTTTTACATGTTAAAAACAGTTTATTATTATTTATTAAACAAATGCATTGTATGTAACTTAGTTTTGATTTTTATACGTTATATTGTTTTTATGTTTTAGCTGAATTTACAGTCAGTTCCGATAGTTCAGTTAACGTAGGTAGATGCCATGCTGATCTATTAGCTAATCTATTGAAACGATAGATTAGCCCGCATTAACATTTAATCAAAGAGCAGCAAATAAACGTACAGTCGTGGTCTGGTGGTCCGCGACACACTCCTTTAGCATGTGTCACACTATGGGTTTGACGTGTTCACTCGGATAAGTTCATTTTTAGATTAATGTATGCTTATCTTTAATTTATCTTACTGACATTACCAGAAATTAGTCACTGTTATGGCAGTCTATCGCTATATATATAATGGCATTAGTATACTTCCAATGTAACTGTTGTCGTGGCCGAGTGGTTAAGGCGATGGACTAGAAATCCATTGGGATCTTCCCGCGCAGGTTCGAATCCTGCCGACAACGTGTTTCCACTTTATTTTCAATATTCGATATTACACATTCATTATGGAGGGAAGCATACCACCCACCAATTATCTGTCAATGCCATAGCGAGCGTGCTAAATCAACTCAATGCTTTAGCTAAATACGCCATCGTATCTTGTAGCTCAGCCTTAGCTAAATGCTCGTAGCATTGTTTTCATACTAACTTGCAAAGTAAGTGCTGTAACAATTGTTTTACTAAAGATGTTTGATTACATCTCTGTTTCCCCCGTAACACTCCTACTCAAAATGTTTTACAGTAAGTCAATGTAATATGGGTGATTTTTTTTTCAGTTGCCGATTCAGGCCACAGCTGTTTTCCTGTAGCTACAGCAAGTGAAGAGTCAAACCACTGCTGTTCTAAATGTTAAGTGCACTGCACCGGCTCAGACGTGTTTTGTAAAAGGACCTAAAAACAAAGTATTGTGATATGAATACAAATTCCTGTAACCTTTTGTTATCATGCCATACCCTGCAGAAATCATGACAAACACGCATTCACCATTAATACAGGTATTTAACACTGCGATTTAATAAAAAAAGTCACACATGGATTTGCAGTTTTCTCACTGTTATATATTTGTATTCAACATAAAAAGGCTTTCCTGTGGAGAAGCCAGTACAAAGTCACAGCGGACAGATTTACAAATATTCAGTTGTGTTAGGACACATACCCAAAAACACAGCCATTCGCTCTCACAGTTAAGTGTTCCAAGAGTCCCATTATGAACAAATGTTACAAACTCCTGCCATAATGTTGGCTTTTGCATGCATTTTACAAACCCATTATTAACCACTTTGGCATATGAGTAGACTTAATTTATCATGCAAAACATATTATCTGAATGGCTCAACCACTTTAAGAAGTTTAAAACCTGGTTCAAAGGCATATGTAAACTTATTCAATGCCTAAATTACATCAAGACTTATTTTCATATACAGTAAAACCTGTGCATCTTCAGTGGCTAGAATCTGTGCCAAAAAGCACTTAATATCATACCATCTGGGACAAGTATACAACCTTGAAACCGCTACAGGTGAAAAGTTGGAAGGAGACAATATGCTCAATGATTTATTAAAAGTATACATACTGTACACATTCTAAAACAGCTCAATGACTTCAATGGAGTATGCTCTGACTTCCTTCTTCATCTTCATCTTACTGAGCTCTTGGAGGCTGCCCTCAATCTTTCCAAGCTCAGAAACCAGTCTCACCTGAGGACACAAGAAGTCATGTTGGTTTAATTTTTAGCCCCAGAAATCCAATCAAATGTAACAATAAAAAAATAAAAATGATATATATATAAAAAAAATTGTACACAGTTATAGAGCAGACAAACAGGAAAGGCCTAGGGTTACCTGAGACTTAACAAAGCTGTGGAGATTCATCAGTAAGCCTTTGGCCTCTGGAGTCATCACTAGCACTGTGAAATGGGCATCCAACACCAAGCACACCCAATCCATGATCTACAAATCAAATACAAAGTTGTCATTTAATTATTTTCAAACTGGAAAGCCTGAATTGTTGCATAATACAGCTATTTTGACACTTCAAGTGTCCTGGTGTGACAGACTCTAGCTGCACTGATGTGTGGCCACCCTAAATTTCTAGATGATACAGACCTGAGTCAGACTTGGTGATCTCAATCCATGCATCTGTGGGAAAGCATCCTGGGAATATTTTAGGTAAAGGAACTGCAGATACTGGAGGAAAAGCTGATTGGAGGAGAAAGAAAATTTAGTGTTATGAAAATGTTCAGTGGGTAAGGTATTAACTCTTGGAACATGAATGAGTGCCGTCCGTTTTATTTTAACGACTAACTATCTGTTACTTACAACAACATGTTGGGAGGAGAGATCTTTTAGGTGTGGGAGGAGGTACGTGTCACTGTACGGCGTCTGCAGGACCTCATTTCTATGTAGCTTCAGTTAAGATCTTATGCTTTCATATGTGTTGGTATTTTTTAATTCAAATCATTACACACCAAACAGTTTGCAATTATGGTGTTCAACTACAGTATAACTTAAAGCTCGTTACTGAGACAGAATATGTGGGTCGACTGATGACATAAAGTAAGAAAAAAGTGACAGACAACTTCGGTTGAATGTAAGTAGCTGCATCATCAATGAACAACAAAATATGACAGAATGGTGAGAATATGGTGCATGATTGACTGTTTACTGGGAGGATACAGCAGAACAGCCTTGCGTAGTCCCACTGGACAGTTCTGTTCTGGTGGAGACGATGTCTTCTCCTTATCCTCTGCTCTGGTCTTAATGACGGTACCGTCTGAGTGGCCCTCATCAATGGAGGTGGGGCTGAAACCATTCTGCAAGCCAACCTGGCCACGCTCCCCGGCGATTAGAGTTTCCATGAAGGAGACACTGTCAGGCACCAGGCTCACTGCCTCTGCATCGATGTCTGGCATACTGCAAAAAGAAGGTACAACACCACACTAATAATCAGGTTATTGCACAGCTAAATAACTTTGGTTTGTAGGATAATTTATCAAACAAGTTCCATCACAAGAAAAAAGTAAACTGTTTAAAAAGACACTATGCACAGACTTAACAAAAAAGTTAAGGTGCCCCCTAGTGGTAACATCAAAAGTGGCAGAGACATCATGTCGAATGTCTACATTATGGCATTCACCATCTGTTTTACCTGATAAAGGCCTTAAGGCAGGCACAGGTGACCATTTCTGGGATGTCAGGGAAGAACTGCAAGCAGAGCTGACACAGAAAGTAATCCTTCCTCTCCAGGGCCAGGAGCACAAGGTCAGGACACACACTGTTGAAGGACATGATATTTAATGGTCACATTAAACAAATACATCACTGGTTGAAATGCAATTTGGATCATACAATTCATATTTTCTGTATGATTCAAAAGCAAGTTTTGGCATTTATATTTATCTAAAAGTACAGAATTATATTTTGCAGACTTTAGACCGGTTGGTAAATATTTTTATTTTTTAGTTAATTCCCCATTTAAAATAACACCACCCAGATTCCAATGCCATGCCTTACTGACCTGTGGCACAGGGATTGAGTGTGCACTAGCTGTGCCAGGGCGCTAGGGGTGTAGAAGGATGGATCAGCCAGGCTCCGGGACACAAGGGTTGATGCTAACTGCCCCACTAAGGGATGCAGGTCCTGAATGTCTGACCTGGAGAGGAGCCCGTCCACCTCTTTCTGGACCTCTTCTACTGGCGCCGTCTGCATATGGAAATTTACATATTTTATAATTATGAAATGCCTTTATTGTCAACGCTGATTTCAGAATTTTGCCAGAGAACCATGAAAATAAATGTTTTACCTTGATGAGCTCCAGAAGTTGGTCAATTGTTAAACTTGGTGCTGACTGGGACTTACGGTTTGGTCTCTGCATGGAAAGAGAGAAGAATCAAAACCATAGCATTAATTCAGGTGGCACTACATTCACTCACACACACACACACACACACACACACACACACACACACACACACACACACACACACACACACACACACACACACACACACACCTTTAAATACTGTACAGAAGCAGTACATTTGCTGATTTGCAATAATTTGTGTCACATTCCAACAGCAACTTGTGTTTTTATGGTTGTAGTGTGGGTGAATGCTTATTCTTCTAATTTCATAAATTTGGATGAATTGTGTAATTAAACAGACTTATACACACAGACTGCAGAACCCTGTACTATTATGAATTTCCTCTTGTCACATAATTTTGTACATTTTATAAACAATGCACCGTCATTTCAGACAGTAGCCATCAAGCATCTTTCTCTAAAACAACATACCGTCTTCCTGGTCTCCACTGTTCTAGAGGGCTGAGCTTTTTCTCCATGCAGAATGTTATTCCAAGAAGATACAGAAGCTGGAGCTTTGGACTCTGTAGCAGTGAGAAAACACACTGTATTGAGTGAAAATGCAATGAGTGTTGTCATTGTCAGTGTTGTAGCTTCATTAAGAACCACCTGCTACATGACTGAATATTATTTAGTATGTTATTGCAGTATTATTTATTTAGGTTGAATCAGTACTTGCCATTTGATTTTTGCAGATGCACAGTAACAGTACTACACATTTGTTTTAGCTCACCTTCAGTCTTGGCCTGCCTTAGTTTTCCCAGGGCAGAGGCCAGGGAAGATTTGGGGCACTCATATGGAATAACAGAGAGGGTTTTCCCATGTGGGATAAATAACTTGTTTGAAAAAACCCATAGCTAAAATCAGAGAAAAAAAGACAATGAATACAAACAGTATTCAACAGCATAAGTTAACATATTTTAACAGTGATTGTGAACTGCCATAAAGTTGTGAGGAGGGACTGTGAGCCCCATCACAGTGGAGAGCAGACACAATGCTCTACCAAAGTCATACAGTCCTCCATCAGCACCCAGCAGCTGGAAGGACAGGGAACCTTGGACCGCAGTTAAAATAACAATGAGGGACGTCTGAGTGGGTGGTTCATGCAGACTTCTAACCTGTTTTAGCTCTAGTGCCCTGCTGCTAGCATGGCTAAAAATGATTATTATACTGTTTCATCCACTGAACATATAACAGAACCATTAGAAAAAAAGCATGGTCATGGTTTTGCATTTGATAAAAGCATTCCTACCTGTCCGTAGATTTTACCCGCCATCTCTTTTCCTGCCTGAAGTGTCTGGAAATTGGTATTCCAGATGCAGAGGAAGTCTGAAAAATCGAATCCAGAGCCAGTCAAGAACCACACACACTCACATCAGACAGTGGAGTCACATAGCTTCAAGTCATCAACAAGGCCCACATGTCCAAATTACTGCAATCGAAGGCTAGAATAATGTTAGCCTTGTATTCATTTAAGTTCTAATTATTTGAACCTATAAATAAATATCAGTCTCAACACCCAACATGGAATCTAGAAACAAAACTCAGTTCAGTCAGTTAAATACAGAAAAGCACTACAGTACAACCTTGTCTGAAGTGACCCCTACCTGCCCCATTCTCACTATTGTGCGAGTATATTTTGCCAGACAGAGTTGTGTTTTTGAGTATTATTTCTTAAATATAATGTGTGCAAAATGCTAATAAAATATTATTTTATAATGGACTAATGACAACAGAAAAAACAGGCAGGTAAGCTTTTTGTCACTAGGACATAGCTTTCAGTCAGCCATGCCAGAGCTGTGTCCTGTATCTCAGATTTCCTTCATTAAGCCATGCTTAAAATGGTACTTTTAGTGGAGTGAAAACCAGCCAAGGCTAATACATGTGAAAACCTCAAACAGATATGTCTGAGTAGAGCACTTGTGCTCTTTATTTGAGACGGTGTAATAATGCTGTACGTACCTTTACCAGCTCCGGCAGAGGGGTGTGGAACCCCAACAACAGCTACATGGGCTTCATCCAGGACCAGGGCGGATGCTGCCTCCAGCAGGCCCTCGCCGACAGGAAGACCCAGCAGCAGGCTACGGGGCAGTGGAAGAGCCTGGGCCCCCTCGTCAGCCCCCAGGCCCCGTACAGAGACAACACTCTGGTACACATGACCGTTAGGGTCTGGATGGCAGGAAAGAGATGAGGCACAAAAAGGGAAAAGATTAGAGGGAACTAATAACAACTTAGACTGCATGTGACATCCTGTGTTTGGGCAACACGGTTATAACCTAAAATGAAGTGTGGAGTGCATCATGTAATCAAAAGAGATTATACCCTACTCAAATTAATCGATTGGCATTGGATGCCCATCTAAGTGGACGCTGAATGACATGTTATGGGGCTCTTGGTCAAGGTAACAGGCTTTGGTTGTTTATTTTAAACGACTAACCCGTTAAACATGACAAAGCACCACAGCTACAAAGTTCCTTTCTTAGTTCAGTAGTACTACAGAGAGAAAGTGGTTAGATGTATGAGGTGATGATGCACATAACACACTTGAACAGGATCATTCACATCTCTCTGTAATAATGCTGAAACTTGGACGATGTCCATGGCTGAGCTCGATTAGTCGCGCTGGCACTGTGCAGGTCAGGTTTTGGAATGCAGCCTTTAACACGTGTCCTCCTTTACTGCAAACCTCCTACACACAAGGCTGCCACTGGCTAGCATTGTCAGCAATTAAATGTGTTTTCATTTTTGTTACGATTCACATGCCACCCACTGTGTTGAGCCCCTTGTCATTTCCGTGTCCACCAAACAGGCCTGCGCTGTCAAACCGTGACAAACAAAAAAGTTTCACAGGAAACTCAGGCTTACAGAGATAAAGAAGGCGGATGTGTTTATCCCTGTAGGAGGCAGAGAAGCTGAGCGGGGAAAGACCAGGCTCCTCTCTCTCCAGTCGGTACTTCTGTAGGGTGTTAGGATTCAGTCTCTGCAGGCAGAGGAAATGATCTCCTTTCTGTGGGAAGACATCGACAGCCATTCAAAGCAAACAGGCCTTTAGAAATACCAATAAAAGAGTCGCTGTCACCACAGGTCCATGCACAAAACAAGGACAGACAAAATTAGTTATTGATAAATGGGTCAATAAATACAGGCCATTGACATGCCTTTCCGTGCAGGCACATAAGCATGCTCTCAAATGACTTGTCTTTACAGCTTAGATTTGTGATACAAGTGCTGAATACTTAAAATTTAATTCACTGTTGTCAGCTTTTGTGTCTTTCGTCAAAAGCCAAACAATTAAAATGATGTTACCTGTTCCGTTGTGAAGATGACAAACTGTTGAGACTCTGCAACTATGTTGGTGCTCCACCTAAAGACAAAAAGAAGAATCATCAACACGCTACAACAGGTCAGACTGCAGCACAGGACTGGACGTCAGGTTATTTCAATATTTGAAATGTCACCGTCTATATTGAAATTTTGTTCCTGAACAACAAAATTGGGAGTCAACTGCAAAAAATTACCATCTCTTGGAGCAGATTCTAAAACTCGCTCTCAGTTTGGATTATAACACAAAGGATTTACTGGAACTGTAAAGTACAGTGATACTGACCTAATGGCCTCTTCTTGAGCCAGGACTTCCTCTATGGGCTGCTGGGGAGCAGAGAGGATAGAATCCAGGAGTCTCACAGCTCCTCTCTGGAACAAGACCACAGGCTCCCCTCCTGGTACACAGTGGACCTTCCAGACATCTGATGACACCTGGCGACAAGATATACAGAGGACTGAGAAAGGTTGAACCCTATCTTGACCATGAAAGGTCATTACAACGGCAATCAGTCTCTCTTCCATCTTTACAGTTGCTCAATAAACAGCAAAGTGTTATATAGTAAACAAGGTTATTCTTCCCGTGGGTGTTGCTGGCTTAAGCCTAGTTCACACTACATGATTTTTAGCCCAATATGCCGCTCAGCGACTGTCAGGCTGTGATCGGGGGTATATCAGTGTTCGATCGGTGGTTGCCAGTCGTTATGTGTGAACTACACAACGACATATCAAAACGTCTCCCCGAAACATTTCTGACACATCGCCAACATCTGCCAGATATCTAGCATGCCAAATATCTGGAAGAGTCGACCGACTCGAAATCCAGATCCAGCCAATGAGAGCAGGCAGCTGGCAGAGCAGGCAGCTACTTTTTCACTGCAAAACACTTTTTACTCACCTCCAGCTCTCTCTGTAGCTCAGACAATCCCTGCTACCTGCGTGTGCTAATTCATTCTTTCACCCATATTTTTTGTATAATAACAAACAGCTGTTTCATGTGTAGGTTTGCGTCATTTCCCGTTTCAGATTTCATGTGTTTTCTCTTGACAAAACGTGTTCTGGAGACCAGCATTGGGTGACAGAGTCGTCAGCTCGTGTAGTGTGTGAGCCCCTGTCACTGATCAGTCACGTAGTGTGAACACCACAAAGACTTCAAGACTTCCATCACAGGACGGCAAGTTGTGCAGTGTGAATGGCAAGGCCATCGGCCAACGCCAAGTCAAAGTTATGTAGTCTGCACAAGGCATTGCATGATAGGCCACTGCAGTGTGGCGTCTATCACCAAAAGTTAATTCTGTTTCAGCTTTCCGCCATATGCTGGCCCCACGGCCCCAACATAAAAGCACTACCCACATTCAAATCAGGAGGAGAACGCCTGATTTGGTGTGAATACAGCCTTACAGGCTCTGGTCTATACTGTATGTTAAGTAATCACAGACTAACTGTACCACATTAAAGATTTCAGCGATGGAAAGGGAGAAAACTAATGTCTTTGTAGTTTCACTAACCTAGGTTAGGCATAATGGACATGTTCAAAGGGACAGAGTGCTTCACGGTATGAATAAACATCTTCCAGCATGCCACCATGCCTTTGAGGAGACTGCCCAAAAGTGTTTATCCCCCTGTGACAAAAGGCTTTACATCTTGCCTTCTAGTGTGGCCCATTTGGAACAGACGTTTAAAACCCTTTAGACGTGATCAGACAATACATGGTCCAAACTAGTTTAAGCATACCGTGGACTTAAATGCCGATAGAGAAGAGAGCTGCATTGCCATGTTCACACTTACAGTTGCTTTGAAGACCTTATCCAAGAGTATGTCTTCTTCCTTCCAAATTCTGATCACCTTAAAAACACAACCAAAAACAGACATTATTTTGTGTCAGTGTCTGGCAGGTATTTCTAAAAGGACAGATCTACAGAGAAATCTAGAAACTAAATGAATGCAGTAAATAACAGAATAAATTAATAATAAGTGAGGTCCAACCTTTAAATGAGGTCAAATTGTTTAGTGAATATATAACAATATGGAAAAGGCCAATCGAACGTTGTCTAATGTACACCTATTTGACAGGTGGGTGAGAGAATGAAGACATGCAAAACAAAGTGGTGAACTCACACAAACATTTCAGTCATTTCTGTTTTAAAGAACTTTGTGCTGAGAGTGCATGCATGTTTACTACCTTCTTTAACTGTATGAAACACAAAATAACTACTATAGTATAGTTTGTATGCTTTGGGTAAGAACTGATAGGTTAATTTTAAGCTAATTTCAATCTGACAGCAAGTCAACGGGGCTCCGTACAGATGACGCTGCATCCAAAGCAGGCACCAGAATCCTTATCATGAAGACTTGCGCTGTGTACACCTTGCCACGAATGGAATGACTGAAAGCCTACCTTGCTGTCTGAGACGGCCACATACTCCTTGGTCTGTGAATTGTAGACTGCTGAACAGGTCAGGGTCTGTCCTTGTTTCACCGTCCAGCTGCTCAGCGGCTTCTGGTCTGAAACCTGTCAGAACAACAAAATACAAGAAGGCTTAATACCACTTCCCCAAAGAAGCCTCCACCAGCCACAACACAAAACGTTTTCCTCTGCTTGATCAAGCCATAGTGTAACTTTCATCATGTTGGATGAAAGATCACGACACAAGCAAGCGAGGCCGATTCTGAGAGTTGACATTTACTGAGAAGGAGCAGTTCGGTGGGTTATGTAGTTGTATATGGAGCTGTACAGAAGCTGAGCCTTACAATTCAAAGCCATCATTCGTTAGCAAGATGTGTGCGTGTGTTGCGGTGGATGAAGCGGCCGTTGGCTAACATTTGCTTGTTTTTGTACGTTAGCCTGGCATGATGTTTACTCCAACGTCTGCGAGCTTTACTTACGGTTTTAACTGAAAAGGAGGCAAGTTACTATTATAAATAGCTCAGGTTTCAGTCTTGTCCTCTAGGTTTCCATCACTGTTGCTATGAACAGCCGAGGATGTCCACACGAGTTACAGCTAACTGTTACAGGTCGCATAACGTTATATCAGCTAGCCCAGGTTAAGAGAGCCTCCTCAAAACAGTCGTTAAACGTTACCTTGTACAGCGTGATAGATCTGGTTGAGTCGGTGACGACGACATGGTCGCTGTCTCTCTCCGCTTCGATCCCCTGAATGCCTGAATGTGACAGATTTTGAGCTGGAACAAGTCCGCACAACGTGTATCCCTCATACAGCGCGGCCATGCTGGACGAGAAGAAAGTGGAACTCGTCGGACCTCGCGAGAACAGAAGAATGTATCTCAGAGTGCCACCGGAACCACGACTGTTTCTGCTGCACTGCCCCCTGCACCCATGGATGTGTTCAAATTGGTAAAATCTATCAATCTATCTATCAATATATCAGTATGACTGTCTATCCAGGTAGCCATCTGTGATCAGTCTGTTTGTCTACATACTGTGTTTTAACCTTTTTTTTTTTCACCATCAAAATATGTCCACACAGCCAATGAGCTACATTCACACTTGTCTCGAGGACAGTCTGGATTATTTAAGTTGTTTCTATTTAATAAGGTGCAGCATCTCCACCATAGACAAAACGAAAGACCGACATTGCCATTCTTAGGCTAGAGTAACTACCACTAAAATTTAGCCTATAGCGCAAGTTTGTGGCTGCTTGATGACTTCTGTGCTGTCAAGAATCATAGTTCCGTCTTGTTCGGGGATAAAACCGGAGATTTAAGAGGAATAAATGTATGCATGTAACACATATCAACATTTCATGTGTGGGGGAAGTAGCCTAGCCAATTGCTAATTCAGATTTAGAGAGGTGACTAAAGGGCATTTATGTTATGTGTTTTCCATTCCCCTCTTGCTAATGATGACCCTTTTATATTATATTTATTTACTATTATAATAGTTTGGAAAACTGTATACAATGAACATGATCTTGACAGTGGTGGTCAGTAAACACGCAACTCAGGCCATTAATTTAATACCTTTCAAAATCACAGACATTTTAATGAACATTTGCAACAAGGCAGATTTGTAGAGCACTTATTACAATATTGTTTAGTCCACTTTCACCTTTGGCTTTAAAACAACTGATAATGTCAAGACAAACATTTTACTAAAGTCCCACGTCTCATTACTTTGAACCTGGACATTTCTGCTTGTGGCTACAATTAATACATTGCCATACATCCTATTTATTAAACTCAACTGCCAATCATATATTGTTTGGTTATATTGCAAGTTGACTTGCCTAAGTGAATCATCAACAGAAAAAGAAGCAGCAGAATAACTTTCCCAATTTCATAATCACAACAGAGTCAGATTATATCTGAATGTTGAATTTGTGGGAATTGTGTAACATGCAACACAAAGAGCGAGATCATGTTCTTTAATTTTAGAGACCAGAACACACCAGTGGCTATTCCATATTGCAGTAATTTATCATCAGAGAAGGGATCCGCTTCTGTTTCAGCACTGTTGGATTTCTGATGGAAGTGAACCTGAATAAAGGTCATAAGTAATTCTGCTGGGCTCTAGAAAAGACAGAGAGAGAGCAAGAGAGAGAGAGAGAACAGGTTAGAATGTTTATACTTACTATAATGTAAGTATAGATAACTCTGAACTATGATCTGATGTTACAGAAAAACAAACTGTCTTTTATAATCCAAGGAACAGATCCAAAAGCATATATTTTTCCTGCTGGGTTTTGCTGTTTTTTTGGCTGGGTTGAGTAACAACAGGTCTAAAATACTTGTGGCTGCAATAATTGACATGAAATTGCTATATGATCAAGTCCTATGTGTAGGAGACTGTAAATATGTCATCTGTCATGACATTTCCTTTTTGGAAATGTATGATATGATGAGAATAATTGCAGTTTTCCTAAATGTGTGGGATGATAGTGCTCTGCACAGACTAGCCTATGCCATCAACTGATTGTTAGACTAGTACTCCTCTGCTTGGAGTTCTACAAATTGTAAAAATTTGAATTGGGTTAAATAGGGAAACCTTTCTGTAACAAATTGAGTGAAACAGGAGAATGAGGGCAAATAATTTGGCTGTGAAACACTTGGATCATATAGTGCATCAGCTGTTCTGATCATTTTAGTGGACAAAACTTATATTATTTAAAGTTTCTGAAACATGGTCACTTTAAATCCATTAATATTTGACAGTTGGAGTTGGAGGAGAGCAGTTAATAACTTCAATTAAACAGCTGCCGCTGCAAAGCTGGCACTGCTGATGTGAGGCTGAACAGTGATAAGTAAAGTGACAAACATAAAAATAAAGAAAAGAGAACAAACTAAAACATATCTAGTGTCCTGACTATTGTGCTACTTTTTATGATACATTGTGCTTGTCATAAAATATTCCTTACGTTCAAAGCATTCTGGGATTTTGAGTTTTCCATCGATGCACTGGGTTGGCACTGCATAACCACACTTCCTGGCCTTGTCCTCGCAGTAGACTGAGACAATTTCTTTATGCAAGAGTTTGTTAGGACTAAGGTCTTTTATCCACATCTTCTTTCCTTTGTATAATATCCTACCTCTCTGTATGCCAACACTGCAAGGAGCTGTCAATCACAAGGAAAAGAGAAAAACATTATACTGATGAGTGTTTTGTGTAATATTGAAAGAAATTAAAACGTGAAACGTGATGTTCCCATATAATATGTCTGGGAATTTGGAGGAGTTTATATCAATTGGCATTGACAGTTTAGGTCTAAGTCAAATGCAGTGGTCTCTAAATTACCACTTTTACCAACACTGTAAAGCATTTCCTATTGTATTTACACCTCTGTAAAATGCAGGCTAATTAAAAAGAGTCATGGTATTGAAATAAAATTGGGAGTAAAAGTAATGGAACTGGGTTGGGATGGGATCGGCATCACCACAAGTCTGGGACAGAGTGGGAACAGTAATACATAAATCCATACTGGAAACAGGTGCAGCTATCGCCAAAATTAATAATGTCAAATGAATGCAATATTGGTTGTAGCCCTACCCTTGCAGGATGGCTTCTCAGACCAATTCCCATTCTGCTGACAAAAAATCTGGAGGCTTCCTTCAAGTACATAGTCTCCATGGCAGCCATATTTGACCGTTTCCATGAAGTCATACTCTCTCGGCTCGCTGTTTGACATGTAGCCTCTGTCAATGTTCTCCGGTGGAGGGCAGTTCACCACTGTAAGGGGAACAATTTAATCCTTTTATTAGAGAGGTAATGAAAATGTCTGTCATTATGAATTTATATATATTTTACCAATTGTTCGCCAGTTACACCCCTGTGTTGCAAAATCTGTGAATCCTGTGAATTACTGAATTACTCTGAGCTAGTAATTACTCTTGTGAAGGCTAAACATATTCAAATTTGAACATTTAGCATTTTACAGAAATATGGAAAGTGCAATAAAAGTCTGGAATCACACACAGAAGGAGAATTTCTGTTTTAATGTGTGATTGTGTTGGGCAAGTTACTCAGAAATTGTATTAGCCTGCTAGTTAGCCTAGGGAAGAGTATAGGGGTATGTTGTCACACTTTTCACACCATCTAATATTTACTGAGCACCGTACATCACAATGGTACAAATGTCAAACCAAATGAAAGAATGAAGTCTTGGACAGAAGTTTTGTATTCATTACATCTTCATATCTTATCTCATTATGGAGCTGTAGACTGTTGAATAGAGAGTGTGCACTTCTGACAATTTGCCCCATCGGCAGGTAAGTTGTCACACTGGATTATTATTAAACAGTTAGAACACTTAATTGTGAATATTGATTTCAATTTCAAATTGTAACTAGAACTAAAAGTAAAATCAATCAACAATCAAGCAGAGCACACATTAAGTGGGACTTCTTTCTTTGAACTTTAAAATCAAAGGTCCTCTGGAGTGCAAATAGATCTATGGTAACTGAATGTAATGCTGCAGATAACTTGCTTAAATGTATAACTTCTTAACTAAACAGATGTGGTGTTTAAACACACTAATGCAACAATGTGAATTTTGTGTACAACCTACATATGTATCTGACTAATCAGACATGTCTTTAGTGTCACAGTTCTGGCACACATAAATTGCCTGGCCTGAGGTGCAAGCATTGCAGGCCCATTTGTTGCATTTCACACACTTAAACCACGTCTTCTTTCGAATATTGTATGAAAATGACTCCACATAGATGAGGCCAAAAGAGATGTCGGCGGCTTACGTCAAAATTCTTAGCTGTACTTCTGATTGATTTGTTCTTCAACTTCACCTGTTTGACTGCCTTTAACATTATGTCAGGCGGTGGGATCAGAAGGGGTGCCGCTGACCTGCCGCACAGTCGCGCTTTCACTTAAAGGATAATGCGTTCAGTAACGCGTCGTTACTTGCCTTAGTAACTAGTAATAATATTGCTGTTTTAGAAAAGTAATTAGTTACAGGGAAAAGTAATATTATTAACGCGTTACTGCAATATTATTTAAACATAGCAGACACAACCAACTGCTTTCTCCTCTGCTGATACCAAGATCAAGAATGAATTATGAACCTCAGTTCAAAGTTAGACAGTCAGAAATGTTACTATAGTCATGTAGGCCACTTTATTCAATGTCACAGTAGGTATTATACAGCAGCTCCTGCTTTTCAAACCTTCATACCTCGACATTCAGGTGTCTTGGTCCACTCGCCACTGGCCGTGCACTCAGCTCTCGCATTGCCAAAAAGTACGTATGGAGGAAGGCACCGGTACGTCCCTGTGACGCCGTAATCAGTGGTGTTCCCTCTGATCCTCTTGTCATAAATTATCATCCCAAACTGTGGGATCGGAGCGAGACCACAGGAAAAAGCTACGAGGCAAGAGCCAGCACATGTCAATTTATTTGTTTTGACATATAATGCATGTTTGTGCTGTAGGCTATGTGTTTCCCCCTATTGTTTATAAGTATGTAGCCTATGTAGGCCTATTTGTATTTGTGTGCCTGTCTTCCAAGGTCACAGATGTTTTTGTACTAAAGCAACTACATATTGTATGTTTTATTCTTTCTTTTTTATTTTACTGGTCTAGCAGAAGGATGTAGTGGATTACATACGCTTGCACTCTGGTACTGGTGCGCTCCATGTTCCACTGGCAAGGCACTCAGCAGTGTGGGCTCCAGTCAAGAAGAACCTGTGCAGAGCAGCCATGTAATTCAGTCAGCTCATGTTTATGTTGCAGATGAATAGACAAAACACATAAACATTGACTCATATCAGGAGTTTGGTTTAGCTACACCTACTATGTGATGAGTAGAATGGCACCAAAAAACATCTCTTTGTTGTGTCTGCTGATGTTTAATAGTGAATGTCAACTGCATATTTGCAAAGGTGAGAAAATATAAACTCAAACATATGGGTAGTTAGTTGATTGTATCACTTCCAATGTTTTTTCCCAGCGTTTGATTTTTCTGTGATTATCTTCACAATTCACTCATACCATGGTGCTAGTTGACAAAAAATCTCTAAACATGCTTTACTGTTACAGTCTACTAGATGGAACTGTTGATCTGATAAGAGGTTCTGCATTAAAAAAATGCCACCAGTGATTTAGGGACAGCAAGGTGGCTGACAGAGCAAAGACACAAGTCAAACAATAAAATTCAACAAGATTGCTTTACCCTTCATGACAAGTGTAGTTGATGGTACTCTGGTACACAGTATCCTCATAGTACAGTTCTCCATTAGACACTGTATCAGGATACGGGCACCGTTTTGCTGCAGGACAGAATACAGTAAGAAGAACGTGTAAATGGAAGGTTTTGCTATTCTGTTATTTTCTGTGAATAATGCAAACAAAATGACATGTCTGTCATAGCTGTGTACAACCTTAATAAAATTGTGATCTAGTTGTGCAGACTAAGATGTTCTCTGTTATTTATTTTGCCAATAACTTATTTAGTAGTACTGATTATAAATATTCAAGTATGCTGCAACATAAATGTGAAATCTACAGAATATGTGCTTATCTACATTAATAATACAAATACAAATAAAGCGAGTGGTAATCATAATCTAGTAGAAAGGGTTCACATTGCTTTACATGCTTGATAAATATTCTTCACAAAATTAAGCATTGAAAATGAGTATTCATTTTATAGTAAAATTGGCAAATCTATGTTCTAATACAATTGATTTTTACATTATTATAGAACTATATGAATATTACAAGAACTAGTTGCCTTTAAAAAGGTTATGTTACTGTTCAACTTGAAAGAAACCCTTTGATCTATAAATTTACAGCACAAGATTATCTGTCACAAGACCTCAAGTTCTCACTAGAATAATGGAGACCCACGTATGCACATTAATTTGGTTTTTGTCCATTGTCCACTGGCAGTGCAAACAATCTTCCGAGGTCCTGACACAGGGGTGTATCCCTGTTCACAGGACAGCGTTAACTCTGCACCGGGGCTGAAGTACCTCTGGAGCCCATCCTTTGCAATGTTGTCAGCCAGCTCAGGCCTATAACATACTGCAAGGACAAAAGGATTTAATGATAATTGTGTATAGACTCTTAAATTGAATGTAGTCATGTGCTGACTCTGAGTCAGAGCAGTTTGTGTGTGTGTGTGTGTGTGTTTGTGCAAATAGATTTTTACAGTTACATTATTATAGAACTATATGAAACTTTTGCAAATTAATGTTAAGTGATATACTGGATTTGCACTATATGGTAATCAAACAAGGAGTTTTAACTTTAAACATTAACTGTTTACTATAAAAAAAAAATTCAATGCAGCTCATTCAGAGCAATATTTACCAGAAGCTGATTATTCTGAAGTAATGTATCTCTCCTTAGGGCCATATTGGGCTGAACAATGTCAATTCTATTTCACATTATTGTCAACCATTCAAACAGTATAATTAACAACATTGGCAACATTTGACTAGGAATGAGCAACAGGAAACTTTACACATCACAATCAAAACCAAAATCAAAAATTTCTCTTGTGAAGAACAGAGAATTTTATACAGACAAGGAAGAAAAACTAATGAAATGAAATAATTAGCTTTTATCCCTGTACTAGACACTAAACATGATCATTACAAGTTAAGCAAATGCCTTTAGAATCTGTGTCTTGTATGATTCAGAGATTCCCTGATGCTAGTCATATAAACAGTGTAGTAATAACTATGTACTATGTATAATGTTAAATAAAATCCATTAATTATAGCAAATACCGTTGTCTTGCTCAGATGTCACAAGGGCAAAAAACACAAACAGACATAGCAGAAGCAAAGTCAGCATGCGTTCCATTGTAGATTAAGTGCAGATGTTCCTCTGTTCTTTCCTCTGGTCTCTGGTTCAAATACTGAATCTCTGTCCCCTCTTTCACTGCTGTTTGTGTTCCTCTAAAAGTAAACAGATAAGAGCAGCATGAAGTAACCGCTCGCTGCCGATCCTTGTTTTGTTGTCTGCTTTTTTAGCTTGCTACTTGCAATAACAGATTGTAACCCTTGTGACAGTTTACTGGAAGTGAAACTCTCCAGCAGCGGACTTTCCCTCATTGCTGCAATGTTATGCACCAACTGAAATGTACCTTTTTTTTTTTTTTACATTTTATTCGGCCCCATTTTGCTCTTGTTTAAATAATTTGAAATAGATTACCATAATGAGACACATAAAACAGAAGAACACCATGGAATACTGAGTTGTCTATTACTAACAATTCATCAATGTGATGAGGTTTCCAGAAATTTTCATTCACCCCTCCATCATTTTTCATGGACTGCTTTATGCCCTATGCAACACCATAAAGAAATAAAAAAGAAAAATAGCGCATCAAGGCTAATTAATAATGCAGTCTCAGCAAATGTTGAAAGACAAAGAGATGTTAAAAAAGTTATTACATGAAATATTAGAATAGAATTCTCAAACATGTGTGAGCAAAAGTTGATACATTGAATGGTACGTCGGTAAAAGACTGCCTCGCAGAGAGCGGCTACAGATTTGATATCAATGTCCAAATTCAAATCAGGTGATGCACTGATTCAGGTGAAAGTGTACATGTCCATGAAATTTTGCAATGGTGCATTACCAAAGCTATACAACATGTTATTGCTATGTATGTTAACTATTTCTGTCACAAGTTCAAGTTTTAAGAAGCTTTTCCAGTAATATTCAAGATGAGGTGCAATAAAGCAGTGGTTCTCAAACTTTTTTTAAACTACACAGATATAAGCTTTTTATGGTCTCGCCCTTTGTGTAATTTTGTGTCATTGTCTTGAAGGCATTTCACCACTCATCACTTCATCACTAATTGGATGTGGGTTGTCTACACCATGATATCTCATAAGAATGGTTATAGTCACATGAAAGTTATGAGGGAGACCAGATGATGTCAGATAATTGTGGACACACATAGCTCAGATCTTCATTTTTAATTTTAACCTCTGTGTTGGGTACAGGTATGTATGTACAGTATGTATATATCTGCAGACTGGAAACTACACAGGCTCTTTAGGTCAATGACTCTCTACAGTACCACATCACCATTTTACGTCCATATTTTATTATTAATTACACCTTTTGCTCTATCATTACTTGAAAATGACAAAATAAAAGATGAAGGTGACCAATAACAAAAGTCTTGTAGTATATCATTACAGACTCATTATTCATGATCATATCTTTTATATATTATCAGAGCACATGTTGTTTCAGGTCATTCTGTTATGCAGGTCTTGCAGGTCTTGCAGTGCTTGCAGGGGGTGAAGCAGCACACATTGCGATTTCTGATGGAAGGGTTTTGGCCCTTAAATTGTACTCCACCTTGCCTGGTTCTAAAAGCAAGAAAAAGAAAGGCATATATATTACTATAATCATAACATGCATGACTGCATGGAATCAAAATAGGCTTTTATGAAGGCAAAGACTTATTATGTATAATTTTTAGAGAAAAAAGTGCTTATGGTGCCTAAGTAAACATTACTTTTATATTTGGAGGCATGTGCACTGCTCAGTCTTCATCTTTATATCATACTCTTTGAATACACTTCTGTAATTGACATGGACTTGACTTGCGAGGTCATGACTATGGTGCTGGCTGTTTTTAGTGAAAAACTGTCTGTCGAGCATCCAGACCTCAACAGGTGGAACTAGAGAGGTTTGAATTAGATGTATTTGGCAGACGAGAACTCACCCTCAAAGCACTCTGGGATGGGGAGTGTTCCATCGTTACAGGTGCTGGCCACAGGGTAGCCACAGCTCTCAGCTCTGTTCAGACAATAGAAGACAACATGTTCTCCATGAAGGACTCTGTTTGGTTTCAGGTCTGCAATCCAGAGCTTCTTGGCATTGTAGAAGATACGGCCTCTTTTGATGCCCACTTTGCAGGGAGCTGGATGGAAAAACAGAGATGTTTAAGCATGTTTTCACCAGATGTTGTACAATTCACTCAGTGGATTTTAACATTAGTATGGGATTGATGTTAATTTTAACTTTAACTTTGGTTTACTTATTGTCTGCTGATAAACTGAATCCAGAATATTTTGCAACACTGTAGTCTTAGGGCAGTTTAAGATCTGATTTTCCCGTAACTCACCCCTGCAAACTGGCTTGGAAGACCAGTTTCCTGTGTTTTGGCACTGTATCTCCGCCTCACCATCCAGAACATAGTGCTCATTGCAGGCATACTTAACCTTGTCCTTGTAGCCGTGTTGTCTCATCACAGCAAAGGTGATGAAACCATTTGGTATGCCTGATGGGATGGAGCAGCTCACCTCTGGGATGTTCAAAAACAGGTAAAAAATGTGAGGAGGTATTATTTCATAGTCACAATTTGAAATGTCAAAAACAATTCTTTTTGATTTAACAAACCAGGATGGAGAGAAATAGATGACAGGGGAAGAGAGAACACACTGACAGTGTCTGCGTACCCCGGCACACCGGTGGCTCAGTTGCACTTCCATCAGCCAGGCAGGCTCCCCTCTCATAACTTGGTGCCTTTGGTGGGTTACACTCGTATGTCCAGCCTTGCCCATAAATGGTGGTGGTTCCTGTAACTGGCTTGTCAGGGACGATTCTTCCATCTCTAGGTGGCTTGGGCAGCGGACAATTCACAGCTGTAGGGAGAAAAAAAAACACCCCTGACACCCTCTCTGAAGCCTTTCCTCTCTGTGAGCCAAAAGAATGAAAGTCAATATGTTATTTATACTTCTTTCTAGGCAACAAAATGAGTTAAATATACCACCATTAAATATACTCTAAAATATTACACGAAAATATAAATATAAATTTATATTTTCCTCCAGTACCTTTGCAGAGAGGTGGTGGATTGCTCCAGGTACCATCATGTAAACACCTACTCTCATTGGCTCCTTGCATGACGTATCTGACGAACAAAAGTTCACATTAATCTGACATGTATTACTGTAAACGCAACTTGTAATGATCTGTTTGGAACTATAAAGCAGTGGTTCTCAAAGTGGGGTCCGGGGACCCCCAGGGGTCCTTGAGAGGGTTTCAGGGGGTCCCCAGCAAAAAGGGGAATAATTTATTTTCACTATAATTCCATCCATAAGTAACACAAAGACAGAATGTATGACTATTTTGGTAATAGGTTTCATACACTTTCTGTAATAAATAATCAAAAGCAAAAATGCAACCAGATGAGGGATCTTGGGGAAAAAAATCTTTCAAATGGGGGTCCGTGATCTAAAATGTGTCAGTTTAGGGGTCTAAAAGTTTGAGAACCACTGCTATAAAGGGACTTTGCCCGGCCATTCAGTCTTACCCGTCATCGCATGTGTAGTTGAGCACACTCTTGAACGGAGCTTCTGTCCTCCCCATTGCTAATGGCTGCAGAGGTCCAGGGATTGGGCACATCTTAGCTATAGAAAAGATGGCGCGAAACTGAATCTACATCTCTTGCAAGTTAGATAACACTGAGTGAGAAATCATTTGTAGAGAGGACAGCCAGCAGCGCAATAGAAAACACTTCATTTCTGACAAATGTCGTGGGTCTCATCCATGACAACTTTTTGTTCTAACACTTGAACAACTGGACCACCAGAACAGTTTCCTGGTTCCTGGCTCCTTGTTCGTGGCACAAGAATCAAAAACTCTCACAGTTAAGAGTCGTGATCTAATTATTTCTGTTTCCTGTGCTGCCTGCTTACCACAGCCCTGTGGCCGAGTTGTCACGTGACAAATGAACGACTCAAACCTAGAGACCCACAGTTGAGAGTTGTGAACTAATCAATTCCGTTTCCTGTGCTGACAGAGCCCATGCAGCTGCCATGTGACGAGTGAATGTAAGAGAAAAGTTTAAGACTATTCCCGCATGCATGAAAATTAACAAATTACTCCCTCTGACTACCCCTTCCTCCTGAGTCATATACAATATACAATAATGACCCTCCCAGAATTATGTTCTTATCATAGTGAAAAAGACTAGGAAACAGCATTTTGGACCTCATCATGTGGCAGGTAAAGCAGCTGAAAGTAGATATCATGGACATAGACATTTTTTAGAGCGAGTTTTTTAAAAAGGTCAGCACAAGCCCAATTTTTGTTAACACTTTGCTCACTTTTTGAATGTGTTGTAACAATTGAAGAATTGCAGCTGTTCTGGTGCGGCATCACTCTGAGCCAGAGGACAAAGAATTGTTAAAATGCATTGGAGTAAAAGTCCAACATCCAAGTAAACTCACGGGAGCACACCAGGTCTGACTGTGTCCATTCTCCTGTGGCGGTGCAGGTCATTTTTTGAGAGGTCACTGCTGAAGGCAAATAGCCCCGTTCACATGTGAGGGTCACCTCTTCTCCAACCTCATACACTCGTTTTAGGGTCAACTCATCAATCCCGTCAGTGGTAGGAGGTCGGCCACATACTGGTTAAAGATCAGAAATATTACATGAAATATACAAGGGGCAGGATTTGCAGGAATAATGTTCCCATTTTGCAGGTAAAATTTTAATTAGATCAGTAACTGTTCCTTGTTTTTTTTTACATGACACAGTCTAGCCTACACCCCATAATCCATTGTATGGATTGTGTAGATTGTATTGTTGGGAAAGTTGTACAGAGTTTACTGAGTATGATGCCATACCACCAATCGAGTGGAACATGTAGATAAGATACAAAACTGCATAAAGGACAGTGCTTAAGAGCTGTAACAATGACAGCACCTCAAACAGGAAAACTTGCAGCGCATTAGCAAAAAGCAAAATTAATTAATTTCATGCTCAAAAACAAATGAAGCAATTATCCTGCTCATTTTTACCTTTCACAGATGTTACAGCTGTGTATAAAGCTAGTTGGCTAAGGACCAGCAAAGCCAAATTCTGAGCCATCTTCTTGGGAGTGAAGTCTTCTGAAAGTCCCCTGCATCTGGGTGGGGATAAAGCCAACATAAGGGCTGCTGGGTAAATGTCCCCTGATAGCCTGCTCCAATCAGATGCCAGAG